TGGAATTTTGAAAACAGTTTTTTGATCTCAAATTTCTAAAAAACAAGAGAAACTTGTTTGGTTTGGGTTTTTCTTCTCCAATTTTTGGGAAAAGATGGATGTTGAAAACAAAAAATAATATTTGCCTGATTTTTTGATAATTTATTGTTGCCATTAGATTCAATAATTCTGATTTAATTAATTGATTGTCTTCATTAAATTGAAATTAGACCTAGATAATATTGGGACTCACCTCCAATTTATCTTCTTTTTTTTGGGTCCAACGATCAAGGATGTCCGACTTATATACACCTCAACTAATCCCCTTCTTAATTTGGTGAAAGACAAGTTATCCACGCCAGAGTTAAGGTATTCATGACAAATAAATCTCTCATTGTTCAGCCCCAAAAGATTGCTCTATTAGATTGGTTGTCATTAATTTAAAAGGATCCACTAGATTCAAGCGGATCCCCGATCAAAACACGGTGAATGTTTCGAGAAAATCTAGTATTAAAATGAATCGTAATCCCTTTTATTTATGAATAATGCTATTGAAAACTAAAAAAATAGCTTAATTTGTTGGACTAATAATGCGGCAATGACATGATCAAATAGTATTAATGTGACTGTAATGGTTAAAATTTTTCATTACGACTCTATTAGTAGACACATCATTATCCTAGTAAATTTAATCAATTTTCTATATGTCAATAACATTACTTTTTACCGGTCAATGAATACAAATAAAAAAGAGAGTGATGCCAAACACGTCCTTATCAAACACAAAACATCCAACAATTTAAAACAAACTATGTTACGAGTGCAAATCAACACGAAGGGCAAGATCCAACTTGACTAAGTCCTAGAGATTTCATATATTTCGACCTCTTTAATGTCATTTACCATGTTGTGAACTGGGTTGTATCGGTTTGGTTAAACTTTTGTTCAAGATTGACTCCTGATATAAATAAATCAAATTTAACTATAGATTTTACTTTGTTAATGTATTAAACCCGGATCAAACTGGGCCCACGAAAACAAAACAGAAAAAAAAAAAAAAAGATGGGTAAAAATCACATAGACAACATTGGTTATGACTAAATATTTGAGCAATCCCATGGTATTTCAAATATGCTACGAATGATGGCAAGCATATTTTTTATGGTAAATATTATAATTGGTCTTTAAATTTTGTCTTCAATTTTAATTTGGTCCGTGAATTTTTAATTGTTCAAATTTAATCTCTCAACTAGGGGTGGTAAACAATTCAAGCTATTTGAGCTCGGATCAAATTCAGCTCGTTTTAAGTTCAGATAGTATGGAAACTCGTCTCTGATTCGACTTATTTTAAGCTCTGCTCGAGCTTGTTCGTTTGGAAAATGAGGCGAACTTGAACAACTTTTTAGACTTGTTTAGAAATTTTAAATTTTATTTTGCTGATTTAATTTTTAAGAATTTTTTTGTTAAGTTAAATTATAATAAGTTTTGATCTTTGATCTATATTTTATTATTAAATTCTAAAATTTGGGCCTTTTTTTATATGTGGAGCCTAAAATCCATATTTTTTTTGACTCTACCGTTGAGCGGGACAAGGTTTGTGACAACCTACCATTTTTATACAAGCTTGTACAACCTACCATTTTTATATATATTTTTATATTTATTTATTTATATATTGTTCGAAGTTTCTGAAAACCTAGGTGACCTTTGGTTTGTCATCACTTGTTGGTTGCCCAAGGTTTGTGACAACCACGAGAAAAAAATGAGATATATATAGACTTTTATTTGTTGCAGTAATTTGGGCTGTCAAAATATGAAACAATTTATTAATATAACATGAATATTACGTCAAATTAGAGGGTTTGAATATTTTTTTAAGTTATCCGTTTCATAAATGAATATACTTAACAAGACATGATTAATAAACGAATTGAGTATAGGTAAAAGTCTATCAAAAGAAATACACTACACGACTTATTTATGTACCAATTATACATGGTTCATACACGACACGATTAATAAACGAATCAGGTATAAATAAAGTCAATAAAAAAATATATGACACGATTCGTTTTTATACAAATTATGCACGATTCTTATACAATATGAACTTAATATAAAACGACTTGTTAAATACGAATTAATATGAATCAGGTGTGTGTGGAGCGTTTTTTGACACCAACCCACTAAAATTCAAAATGAACCCACCTTACTCGACACAATTGACAAGTCTAGTAGTAATTGATCCATGAACCTTCCCTCCCCCCCTTCCCTCTCAGCTTTACAACGAAAATAACTTTTGTATTCAATTTTTTTGAATGATAACTCTTCTATTAATCAAATATAAAGTTGAGGATATATTGAAAGTCATTTTACTTGAACTTAATTTACAGATCTAATTTATTTACGTAATTATTTATAATCATTGGTTTGATGGTGAATCTCAGTAGTTATTGAGACTCACAATTAATCTAATAATTGTGATTCATTAGATTAACAAATTAGTTCAAATTAATATTATTTTTATTAAAAAAGAATCGGAACTTTGTTTTGTCTAGCAAAACATATATATATATATTTTTTTTTGAGAGTGTGGATCTGTGTATGTCAAATTATTATTGAAGAAATGAGTCACAGTTGAAAATTGTATGGGGACAGAGTCATATTTAATCGAGAAAAATTATGTTAAAGTAAGAGAATTTATCATCGTAAGAATAATTAAGATTAATTTTTGATAGTTAGACACTCCAACCTGCTCTCTTGTTTTGGCCTTAGATTAAAGAAAAAATCTCAATTTTAACTTTAAAAATGAAAAGTTACAAATTATAAGTTAAAAGACTTTTAGGGACACTGAAAATGACATTTAAGGACATTAAATTTAAATTTGAGGAATTACCCGATTAGCACTTGGCGGCAATGTCTTTTGAGGGCAACGTGGAATCAGGGTGCATAATTTAGGAAGTCTTAACTCTAATTTATATGTATTTAAATGTTATTAGTTAGTGTACACGTATGTTGCACGTGAACTATTTCAAAAATTAAATATTATGCAATAGTACTATAAATATAAGAAAATGCCCTCGCTCATATGTACTTTGAAGTTGATTGTGTGTTTGTTATATTTTTTGTAGATACATTTGTAAAGAATAATGTTATTCATCTCATAGAAAAACATAAATTTACCTTTAGTATACATTGCAATTAAGTCATCCCCAGTTAAAAACACTTATTTCCATCAAGACTTTTGCAGCAACCCATGAAAAAATAAAATAATAACAAGATTGGCACAATACCCAATTCCAATAAGAAAACCTTGCCTCAAGTTAATTGTGGCTGCTATTTGAAAAAAATGGTGAGTCTTAGGGGTAGTGGAAAATAAATAATAAGAAGATTGACACAATACCCAATTCCAATCAGAAAATCCTGCCTCAGTTAATTGTGGCTGCTATTTGAAAAAAATTGTGAGTCTTAGGGGGTAGTCTGTTGGTTGAACGTGATTTTTTATTACACAGGAATCTTAGGTTCAATTTGTTTTACATTTATTAAGGGTTAGTCTCCTTTATCTCTTTAGGGGCATACTCTAACCCAACTCAAATCACGGTGGCCAACTTTTGAGCTCGAGAGAATAGTCGGTGCAAGTCAGGATATCTTGTATCAAATAAAAAAAACCATAAATGTAAGGAGCATAACTTTTCCTATATGATCTACTAAACTTAGAAAAAGATCACACATAAAAGATTTATAAATCAAACATGGTAAGACAGAGGAAGAAGAAAAAAGATTCTTCATAGTTTTTCAGTAAGAAAAAAAAGTTGTTTATAGTTTTTCAGTATTTTATATAAGCAAAAGCATGGTGATGATGTACAAAATAGTCTTATGCAATATTAACAATTGAGTGTGTGATAAAGTGTAATTAATGGACAATTAATAGAGCAATCAATGACAATAATGTAAATATCGAATCAACACGCAGATATATAGTGGTTCAGTCCGGGGTACCTACTTCACTCTGGAAAACGGCAACGGCAACGGTGGTCGAGGGACCTTTTATTAATTAAGTAAGGTGAACGAGAGAGAAAACAATGGTTAGCCCCAGGAGGAATACAATAGCTAGGAGAAAGAAAAACTATGTGGGGTATGTAGAGAGGTGTAGAGATAGATGTTTTCTCATGTAGAGAAAACTTACAATTTATAGGCACAGAGCCTTAAGTTGAGGCGATGATGTGAGGGTAAATGTACTAATTCTTCGGATAGCTACAAAAGATAAATATAATTAAAGGTTGTCTTGATCTTCGATAGTGAGTATCCCGATAATTGCTCCTCACGTACTTTAATCTTCTTGAATTCTTTAGACCTTAGGCTAGGTCAATTTGACGAACTGGGTTTGACTTGCCTTTTAGCTGATTTGGGCTCACTTGATTTACTTGGCCTAGCCTGGTTAGATTTGGGCCCATTATTTGTCCCACATGCCCCAAGTCCTTGCGGTGTCAAGGTGATTGAGGGCATGAGTGAGCACTTCACTTTGAGTGGACAAAAGGGTTTCTTGTTCTCCACAGTGGTAATCCCCTCGGCTTCCTGCCCTGTTGGCATCTTTTGGTCTTACTTTTCTGTTTTAGCTGAGCATCCACTGTGCTATCACCATTCTGGAGTAGACTTTATCCTTTTTCATATTTAAAGGCTCCCTCCTTCACCTAGGGCACAATTTCTAAGGCTTCAAGAGGTCAATTCTTATTGAGCCACTTTTCTCTTTTCCTTGAGAGTTTCAAATCTTCCACTAGAGAATGTGAGAGATAGATGAATATGAGCTTCATGGATGATGTTCAAGGTGAAAACCCATCAGACAAAGGGAGAGGAGCGATTCAAGTGCAAGCAGCGAGGTGGAACAACAGCTCAGAGACGAAGGAGAATTAGGCCTTGTTCTGGCTAAGGTTCTCGTTAATGGTAGCGACGACGTCCAGGGAATGGTGAGAGGCTCCAGGCATCGCGATGAGGGGCGTTGACGAGTCCTTGAACTGAGTCGCATGGGCGACTTTGATGACAGTTGTTTGGGCGATGGATCCTCAGGCAACCCCAGAAGCTCATTAGGTGACGCCAGAGGCTCCTTAGGCGAAGCTACCACATTGCGCGTTGAGAACAAGGGGACATTAGGTGGCGGAGAGTATCGAAGGCACCCTGGATGGAACCACAGTCAGTCAAGACGGTGCCCATAGCTGGATTAGGGGGTTCGTTTTGCGTTGTGCTGGACAACGCCTAGTATAGGGAAGACAGAGGCATTGTTGAAGAAGGTAGGGACCCAGGAATGATTGGGGAGGCAAAGGAGGCCAAGAGGGCGATGCCTATGCGATTGTTGGCGACGTCATGGGAGGCCAAGAGGGCGGATCCATGGCACGAGGGATGACACTACAGTAGCTAGAGGTTTCCTAGGCGAGACAGACGACGGCGAAGCAGGCGACACCTTGGGCTACTCGTAGACAAGCGGCGCCCCTAGCACTGAGCTGGATGGCGGTGCCTAAGGCACTGGTCGCTGGGCACTGGTTGGCACGGGTGAAGGGCGGTGGCACTGGGCGCTGGCTAAGCGATGCCTTACAGTAGGAGACAGCGCCTTGGAGCAGGAGGCAACGCTAAGGCCAGTGCCATGGAGGCTTTGGCAAATCCAGGAGAAAGGAACATGCATTGGGGCGCTGGCCGAAGTATCAAAAAATCATGAAAAAATGGCAAAACTTTAAATGGTCATAACTTTGCGCTTGGTTGTTCGTTTGAGACAAATTATTTTATAAATTTGGGTATTTTTTTTTAGATCTACGACATACATATTGCCAAAGGCAGTTTAGCATCAAATTTTCCCAAAAAATGCTTCTTTCTCTCTGAATTTGAATTTTAAACACAAATTAGTAAAGCCGACGACAATGGGAAGCTAGGCTCTGGTAGACAGCTATCAGGCATCCATGGGCGGCAGATTGGCATTTTGGGTTTTTCCAAAGAGGGAGACTATGATGATTTTCGACTAGGTAAGAGGTGAACTCGTTTTCTCCAATCGTGTTTTCTCTTTAATGTTTTTTTAATGCTGGTTCTTTATACTAACCTTGTATCTAATTACAGACGCCTTGTTGATAGGGCGATGATGTAGGCTCTTTATGCTTTTTGGGTGGTGTCTTTCCCTCCTCCCAAGGGGGTGAGGTTATATGCCCCCAGTGCTTCTCGGCCAAGGTCTGATAGCTAGGTTGCTTCCCGAGAGATGGGACCCGGTGGTGCCCCCACTCCTTACCAGACTGCGACCTCTGTGTGTACTTGAGCTAGTCCTTGTACCATTATAGGAGTTGAGACTCTAGTGCGGTCTTTCACGGGGACTGTAGTTCCACATAACCGTTATGTTTCTAGTAGTGGCTCGGTGTTCATGCTTTGACGTGACTTCAGTCAAGGAACAACTTTTGAGGTTTGTCATTCCTAAGATATCAGAGAGGTCAGATCTTGAGGTCCAGAGGGCATTATTAATACCGCGATGGAGGGGTTTTTCATGGTATACTTTTCTTCTGTATGCTTGGTCATATGACATTCTGGTTTTCAGATATTTTGTAGATGGCTGCAGCTTTTTCGTACTTTTGAGGACGCTCAAACTCGACAAAGTGCCGAGAACTTTAGCGGAAGAGATACTTGGGCACCAGGCTGTGGTTGAGGTTGACTCATGAGAGAGCAACAACTCTCGAGGCCGAGCTTCTAGAGAATGAGGCTACTTGTGTGTAAGCACAGGCTAAGTTAGACCGAGTTCTAGGAGACCAAAGCTGCTTCAGAGTAGAGATAGGATTAGGCTAAGTTTGTGGTGACTCGAGAAGGAACCACTAAGTTGGAAATTGAGGTTGCTTGCATGAGAGTAGAGACAGAATAAAGCCAAGCTTTTGGTGACTCTCGTGAGAGACGCTAAACTGGAGACATAGGTTACTTGCTTAAGAACAGAGGCAGGATTAGGCCGAGCTTTTGACGACTCACGAGAAAGCACGAAGCTAGAGATATATGCTGTCTGCTTAAGAGTAGAGGTAGGATTAGGCTGAGCTTTTTGGTGACTTGCGAGAGAGCACGAAGCTGGGGACTGATAAGGTGACTTTCTACATGAGAGTAGAGTTAGAGCTGTTAGCGTCCCGCAAAAGGGCCGCCGGAGCTAAGGCTGAGCTATGTATAGTTCGGGAGAGGGCTGCCGTGACAGAGACTCATTCATTTGAGATGAAGATGATGAGTGAGGCTGCTGAAAGTGCCATTGTAGACGCCTTTATTGATGGTTATGAAGAGCTTAACAACTTTTTATGCTATTAATTTCTCTGATTTTGTCCCGTATGAGGCACCAGGGGTAGATGGTGACAGGGAGAGCCTTAACGATAGTGACTCGGGGGTAGTGGGTGATTGTCGGGAATATGACAACTTTTATCTCTCTGTCTACCTTGTTGTTAGATTATGTTGTGACTGTTGTAAGTTGTTTACAATCTTTATGAAATGAAAGTAAGATAGTTCTGGACACAATAATTTTCACAGAGTTTTATTTCGTAAAATAATAGATAACAAAGTAAATCAACTAAAACAATAAACGATGAATAAAATGAGATCCACCAGCTTGTACCTACCATTAATAATGCCTTTTCTGGTGTTCGGCATCCCATAGGTGGGCTAAGGTTTCCCTGCTTTCAACGTGCTGTCATCCTTAGGGTCGAGCACTTCCACTCAGATAGCCTCTTGGTCTTCATAGAGGCCACGTAACATTCTCTGGCGACGACTTGGTTTCCTTTGACTTCTCCAATCCCACAAAGGGTAGGAAAATGAAGAATCAGATGATATGTGGACGACACTGCCCTTAGGGTGTTAAGTGCGGGGCGTCTAAGTATGATGTTGTAGGCAGAAGGATAGTCTAGTACGATGAAGTGCACCATGATGACAGAGCTTCTTGACGTTGTCCCTGTGGTGACTGGCAGGGTGATGGAACCCAAGGGATAAACCCTTTTCCCCTGATAATCCAACAAGGGGTGTCCTAATGGATTGCAATCTCTCCCTGCCGAGGTGCAGGTTGTCATAGGCTGGTGCAAACAGGATATCGCCTGAACTACCACTATCGCCCAGAATTCTCTTATTCTAGTAGTTCGCTACCATCATGGTTAAGATGAGGGGATCATCGTGACGGAGCTGGATTCCCTCGAGATCCTTATCCAAGAAGATGATGATCTATTTTTCCCTATGTTAGGGTGTCTTTGTCGGGCGAGAGTCATGCGACTCTACCTGCTTGCCTGGCTTTCCTGGTGTGGGCTTTTCCTGGCAGAGTTGGGGTTATCTCCTCCTCTTAGCCCTTCGGAGATTATTTGAATTTCTCTAAGGGGTTGCTGACATTCTCTGTCATCCTGGTCCTGGCCAGGTGGCAAGGCTTGTCCTCTGCCAGCAACGTACTACCTCAGTTGGCCACGCTGTATGAGCTTCTCGATCTGCCTCTTAAGCTCGTAACAGTCATCAGTCTCGTGGTGAAAAGGTAATAATTGCTTGAATTTCTACGATTCGGGGTGGACTTCATTTTTCTTGACCAACGGAGCATGGGGTCATCTTGTATCTGGAACAGGATGTGCTCCACTGAGGCGTTGAGTGACATGAAGGGTTACCGTTCTTTCTAGGGTACTAGACCGAGACAGTCTTTGAGAGAGACTTTCTCGTTCTCTATCTCTTGCTCTCCGCCTCCCTCTTATCTTCACGGGTGTCCTTCCTTTCTCTCCTCCTCGGGAGGAATCACCTCGATGGACTTTGTTGACGTCCTCGGCGTTTATGTACTTTTGTGCCCTTGACAGCAGTTTGGGCATGTTGGAGGGCGACTTCTTAAGGACGGAGAATATAAAACTAGAGGAGTGCAAACCAGCAATAAAGATGGTCATGGTTACCTTATTGTTTGGCTCTTTGATCTGGAGAGCCTCCTCATTGAAATGAGTGAGGTAGCTCCCAAGGCTTTCATCCTGGTCCTATTTGATGGTGAACATGTGAGTAACAGGCTTCTGATGTCGGTGTCCCCCAATGAAGTGGGAGACAAAGGATTTGCTCCGCTCCGCGAATGAGTGGATTGAAGAGGGTTTGGTCTTCGTGAACCATTGTCGAGCATACCCCTTCAAGGTGGTGGGGAAGACTCTACACATGATCTCATCAGACACGTTGTGAAGTTGCATGAGAGATTTATATGTGTCGAGGTAGTCTAGAGGGTCTTTGGTACCGTTGAAGATCTTGATAACAGATATCTTGAACTTCAAGGGTAGGAGATAATTGACAACATTTGCAACGAACGAGGTATTTGTGTGCTTACCAAGTAATCCACCGTCTTTGGCGGCTGTGCTTTGATGACGTTGAGGGCATCAATGACCTAGATTTGCACTTCCTTGATCTTCTCGTCTCATTGGTTGGGGATATCCTCTGTGGGGTCATTGTAATGGATTTCATGATTGACATATTGGCTTTCTCCCTCGTCCTCTTGCACAAGTACATCAGGAAGGGGAATATGTGAGCTTCCTGCGCGCTGAGGAGGGACTTCCGAGCGAGGGGCGCCTTGGCACTACCCGGGGGCGTTCTAGCGCAAGTAGTGCTCCTCCTACAGGTTGAGGGGTGATGCCTCATGAGGGAGCATCAAGTGGATGATTTGCTGGTTCTAGCTTACCAGCAGCTACATGATCTGTAAAAGTTGTTGCCTGACCACAAGAGTCATAGCAGTGGATGGTTTAGAGGGTGTGGGGGGAGGTGGAGCCTCCTCCCGGGGGGCCGAGTTGTTGTCTCCCGATTGTTGACTCAATCAACTTGGTTGTGATTGCCATGTTTTTGAAAGATAGTGATAAGGTAGTAAAAAACTTAATTGTTTCCCATAGATGACACTAAACTGATGATGCACAAAACAATCTTATGCAAGATCAACAATCTAGTGTGTGATAAAGTGTAATTAATGAACAATTAATAGAGCAATCAATGAAAATAATATAAATATCGGGTCAACACGCAAATATATTCGGTCTGGGTGACCTACTCCACTCCGAAAAATGGCAACGGTGGCCGAGGGACCTTTTATTGATTAAGTAAGGTGAACGAGAGAGAGAGAGAGAAAGAGAGAGAGAGAGCAATGGTTAGGCCCGAGATAGATACAATAGCTAAGAAAGAGAAAAACTATGTGTGGGGTGTGTAGAGAGCTATAGAGATAGATGTCTTCTTATGTGGAGAGAATTTACAATTTATAGACACAAAGCCTTAAGTTGAGGCGGTGACATGAGAGTAAATGTATTAATTCTTCGGATAGCTACAAAAGGTAAGTACAATTAAAGATTGTATTGATCTTCGTGAGTGAGTATCCCGGTAATTGCTCCTCATGTGCTTTAATCTTCTTGGATTCCTTGAGCTTGGGTTGGG